ACTGATGAACTGAGTACAAACTGAAGCATCCTTTTTTTTTTCACTTTATTTTTCTTGCTTTTTTTTTTCTTATAACTTGGCTAATATGGAAATACGTTTTGCATGACTTCACATGTATAATTGATATTATATTGCTTGCCTTCTGAATGGGTAAGGGTGAGAATTTAAAACTCAATTTTTTAAAATGAATGCTGAAAATAAATTTTTTTTAAAAAGGGGACATATACAAGGCAGAAAAAAAGACCCAACTTAACTGCTACCCCCTCCATGAAACCTTCCTTGTTCTCTCAAGAAGTAATCTCTCTCTGCTCAAATCTTTCATCGTATTTTGGACAGCATATTCTGAATCATATTACAGTTTTCTGTGCACATCTTATCCTTTTAGTAGAATGTCATCTTCCTCAGGCAGGGAGAATCTCTAGTTTTTTGTATTTTCTTTGACATGGTGGGTCAGCAGGGGGAGTTGCAGACAATACCATCATGCAGTAGGCACCAAGGTCATGGGCTGATCAGGCCAGGATCGGGTCTTTCCTTGGAATTCTGGCTGAGGAGAATTAGAGTGCCTGAACAGTCATCCAACCATAGACGAGGCAGTTGCATAGGGAACTGAGTAAATCCCCTATATTGGGCGACAGTCTACAATGAGGGAAATCCAGAACAAGGGACCAGCAGACTATGTGAAGGAGGGCTGCCAGAGTGGTGACAGGCCACATCCCCATGAAGACTCCTTGGAGAGGCTGAGGGTGTTTAGCCTGGAGAAGAGGGGACTGGGGGAAATGATCACTGTATGCAAGTTAAAGGGCTAGCCTGTAGAGGAGGATAGACTTGCTCTGTGTGATCCCAGGAACGAAGCTGCAGAGGAAGGCTGAGGCTCCTGGCACCTAGGGCGATCGACAAGGGAAGGGGCTGCCTCTGGAGGGAGTGGCCTCCTCCCCACCACCCACTCATCTCCCCCCCCTCCCCAAGGCCTTCAAACAGAGGCTGGTGACAGGTGTCTGTCAGGGATGCCGCAGCACAGGTCGGGGGCAGGTTGGACTCAGTGGCCTCTGAGGTCATTCCAGTTCTGAACTGTGACTCTGTGAGCCACAGCCAAGAAATAACTGGCACTGTAGGGTCTAGGGCCAGAGGCTCAGCGGAGGTGGAGGCTGGTCCTCTGGTGCTACAGACTTCTGGTCCAACCCTCTGCTCTCAGGTCTTGCACAGTGGTGCCTTCCCCCATCCCCAACTCAGGACTTGCCCTGGGCATTGCAGGAGCTTATTATAAATTTGTGGACAACAAGTAGCAAATTGGAAGGAACACTGGCCTTACAATCAGAAGGGCCTGGGTGTGAATCCTGCCTCTGATACTCATCACCTTAATGGCCCCGGGCAAGTAACTTCACTTCAGGCCTGCCTCAGCTTCCTCATCTGTAAAATGGGGATAATAACAGCACCTGCCTCCCAGGTAGTTGTTAGAATCAAACAAGATAGGCACAAGGACTGTGAAGGTAAGCCATGCGAATGAAGAATGGCCTTGCCCCCTCCTGGAGAGCAGCCACCACTGGGGATGGGGCATCTGTGGCTTTCAACCACATGAGAATGTCGACATTTTAGTAACTTCCCAGGGCTGTAATCGGGGGCCGCTGGTGACAGGCAATGGGATAAGGATGGTCTCTCCAGGACAGCCCCCCTCCCTGCAGACTCCACCCTGGGCCTGCCACTGCCATCCTGGCTTCCCCCTGAGGGAGGCCCGGAGGTTCATAGCCCCCTTCCTTCCTTCCTTCCTTGGTTGAAACAATTATTTTCTCCCAGTGATAGTGCCTTTAACACAGGAAATGCATAGTTTTCACAGAGGACTTTGTATACAATGGAATGGAACAGCAGAGAAAATTAATTTTATATTTTTTCCATAGAATTTTATTGATATCTTCTGTTTTCAGATTTCCCTGTGTCCCTCACTCACCTCCTCCCATTCATTTCTTCATTCCTTCATTCACTTACATTCATTTACTAAGCAGGAGATAGCTGGGCCTGGAGTCAGGAAGACCTGAGTTCAAATCCGGACTCAAACACTTACTAGCTGTATGACCCTGGCCAAGTCACTTAACCCTGCTTACCTCAGTTTCCTCATCTGTAAAATGAACTGGAGATGGAAATGGAAAAGCACTGCAGTATCTTTGTCAAGAAAACCCCAAATGGGGCCACAAAATATCAGACGGGACTGAAATGACTGAACAGCAAACACTATGTGCCAGGCACTATGCTAAGCACTGGGCATCCTGTTCTCAAGGAGCTCACAGTTCTGTTCCTCGTAACAAAGAACTTTTTTAAGAAAAGAAAAAGATGAAGAGGAGAAAAAAATTAGAAGAATGGGTCAATTTGTTGAAAAAAATCTGCAGGGTTCTGTGCCCATGGACCTCTAACCTCATCTTCTCATACCTCTTCTTCAAGGCCAAGTTTCATGTATTATTAATACTGATTTTACTTTTTTTTTTTTGGTAAATCATGGGTTCATACTTGTAAAAAATAACTGAAGCAAGCTTTTGAGGGCTTGGTGCTTATAAAATAAAAGTGAAATCTCTTTTGTTATCCTAGCACACTGTGGGCAACTAACATAAAACATGGTACAAAATAAATTAATTTAACTGATCCACTAAAAATAATTATGTATGCATTTGTAGAATTTCTCTTCAAAATAATACAAAGAATGCAGTGGACTAGATAGAAAGCCAGCTTCAGAACCAGGGAGACCTGGCTTTAGGTCTCTTATCTGATATACACTGGCTGGGAGACCCTAAGCATGTTGGCGGGACTCTCAGCACCGTTGGCATCTCTCTACCATTATACGTTGAAAATCCACTGCTGCTATGCATTAGGGGTGGGAAACCTGCCACCTCGAGGCCACATGTGGCCCTCTAGGTCCTCAAATGTGGCCTTTGAGTCAGAGGGTCACACTTAAGGACCTAGAGGGAGAAAGAGTTTTTTTTGAGATGGTTTCCTAGACTAATGAAATTCTAAGTATGACCATGTCTATCTATCTGCATTTATCCCTTCTCCATCATGAGGGACAGGGGCACGGTGCCCCTACAATCTAGGAAATCTACATAAAATTTTCTGGTCCTCCCTCCACACCAAAGAAGAAGTCCAAATTATTATGGTATTAAATGATCAAATATGTTGATTTTTATAATGCTATACATATATCTTATGCATTTCTGAATTTCTAAACTTTTTCTTTATTGTCTGCTGGCCTTCACATGTCATTTGCGGCTCCTGCAAAACTCCCCAAAAATTCTCATTTAATTTCTTATGCCAATCTGCGCTATATCGAAACTGGAATAGAGAAAGTCACAACGTGGAAGGGATAACTGTAGTGTGTCTATCTACCTACCTATCTATCTATCTACCTATCTATCAATTGACCTATCTACCTACCTGTCTGTCTGTCTATCTATGTCTATCTGTCTATCCTGTCTGCCTGTCTATCTGTCTATTTGTCTGTCTGTCTGTCTATCTATCTATCTATCTATCTATCTATCTATCTATCTATCTATCTACCTACCTACCTACCTCTCTCTATCTCTGTCTCTCTATCCTGTCTATGTATCTATCTATCTACCTACCTATCTATCTATCTATCGATCTTGTCTGTCTATCCTGTCTGTCTGTCTATCTATCTACCTGTCTGTCTATCTGTCTATCTATCTATCTATCTATCTATCTATCTATCTATCTATCTACCTACCTACCTACCTATCTATCTACCTACTTACCTATCTATCTATTGATTGACCTATCTACCTACCTGTATGTCTGTTTGTCTGTCTATCTATATCTATCTGTCTATCCTGTCTGCCTGTCTATCTATCTACCTGTCTGTCTATCTGTCTATCTATCTATCTATCTATCTATCTATCTATCTATCTATCTATCTATCTACCTACCTATCTATCGATTGACCTATCTACTGACCTGTATGTCTGTTTGTCTGTCTATCTATATCTATCTGTCTATCCTGTCTGCCTGTCTATCTACCTGTCTATCTGTCTGTCTATCTATCTATCTATCTATCTATCTATCTATCTATCTATCTATCGATCTTGTCTGTCTATCCTGTCTGTCTGTCTATTTAGTCTGTCTACCTACTCTGTCTATCTATCAAAAGAATTTTCATGAGCCAGTATTCCTCACGTACTGGTTTCTACTTCTTTGGAAAATAAGGGAGCAGCAAGCTGATTAATGTTCAGAATGGGACAAATGAACTGGAATGTCATCCTACTTCCTTTCAAGAGTACTTGAAGTCATTCCACTACATCTTTATAAGACCCTAGTGAAATCTGTAATTGTCTCACAGATAGAAATTAGCATAATAAACCATCCCACATTCTTTTTTCCCTCTCTCACATTCAGAGCACTGACAAGGCTATGATGGGCCTGGGAGGCGGAGGCAAATGTGGGGACCAGAAAGAAGGGTGTGGGCAGAGTACAACTGGAGCATGCCAGGCTAATCACAAGACTTAGAACTGAAGACTTAGAGGGGATTGAATGCAATCCCCTCATTTTACAGATGAGGAAACTGAGGCCCAAAGAGGTGACTTGCTCAAAGTCAGGTAGATAGGAAGTGGGAGTGCTGGAATCCAAATCCAGGTCCTCTGTCTCCTCCCTCAGTGCTCTTGCCACAATACCCACTTGCCTCCCTCTTAGCTCAGAGTCCAGAGGGTTTGAGCCTGAACTCAGGTTCTGTCCAGCTCTATCATTACATGAATTGGTGACTGCATGAGGACATATTTAGAACTCATGTAGCCAAATGGAACCAATGGCTCGTACCTATATGATCCTTCAGACACCACCATCGACCTACTAGAAAATAGAGGGTAGTAGGGAAGGAAACAGATGGCCATGGTGTTTGAAAATTCCGACATCTGCACTCAAAAGTATTCCAATTATCTGTTAGAAGACACATTTTATTTAAGAGGTATCGAAAAGGACATGCAGTTGACTAATTCATGGTCTCTACTTACCCTCCAGGTCATCAGAGTCAGCTCTTCCACGATACAATAGGGATTCCAATAGGGATTCTGATTCCAAATCTTCCTTTGGGAAACATGGTGCATCTTCAGGACATTCAGATTTGGAAGTGTCCTCCTCTGGGCTTCCAGACACAGGGGGAGTCAAAGGATAGTCAATGCACTCAAATCCACTGCCAAAAAAAGATCCAGTTTGACACTTAACTTCAGATGCACAACCACATTGAGGTGGTAACAAAATCATCCAGTTAGAATGTGTAATTTTGGGAGTTTTGAACTCCAATGGAGCTAAAGCTGATCAGGTGTCCACATTGAGTCCAGTCCCATCATGAGCCCATGGGTGTGGAGGGCCACCAGGCTGCCCTAGGAGGGGAGAAGTGGCCCAAGTCAGAAACAGAGCAGGTCCAACTTTCTGTGCCCATTGGTGGTGGGGCCAAGTCCATAAGCAGTCCCTGCACTTCCAATCCTGGACAGAGGAGACCCAACAACAATGATGACAACAAAAAACTATTTAAAAGTGTACATCTGAGCACTGCTTTCCATTATTAGTGCCTCATTGCCTAAGTTATTGCAATATATTGGTTTATTATTAGTATAAAAAGAATTCAAGATAATGTTTCTGAAATTCTCAGATTCCCTGCCTTTTCAAGTCCTTTCTCTCCTGCATTTGAATATTGTGTTATACTAGATGCTACCAGGCACACAGGAGTCAGGTGGCTCAGTGAATTAATGGCCACTACAAGGGGGTTTCTAAAACAAATGCATTTGTAGCATGGTGGGATTGGGAGGTCTCTGCGGCTGCTGTGAGAAATCAAGAGGAGACATGAGGGAATGCTTAAACTAGGTAAGGGCCTCAGGTTCATGCGAGAGGGGGACTAGTTGAAGGAAGTGGGGATATCTAGCAAGGTGGTACAATGATAAAGCCCTAGGGCCTAGAGTCAGGAAAATCTGAGTTCAAATCTTACTGTATAACCTGGGGCAAGTCACTTAATCTTTGCCTCAGTTTCCTCATCTGTAAAGTGGGGAAAAGGAAGAAGAAGGATAAGGCAGAGAAGGATGAGGAAGGGGAAAAAGGAAGGAAAAGAGCAGAAGGGTGAGGAGGTGAAAGAGAACAAAAAGAGGAAGAAGGAGGAGAAGACGGAGAAGGAGAAGGAGAAGGAGAAGAAGAAGAAGAAGAAGAAGAAGAAGAAGAAGAAGAAGAAGAAGAAGAAGAAGAAGGAGAAGAAGAAGAAGGAGAAGAAGAAGGAGAAGAAGAAGGAGGAGGAGGAGGAGAAGGAGAAAGAGAAGGAGAAGGAGGAGGAAGAGAAGAAGAAGAAGAAGAAGAAGAAGAAGAAGAAGAAGAAGAAGAAGAAAAAGAAGAAAAAGAAGAAGAAAGGAGGAGGAGGAGGAGACTTAGGAGGTAACATTATCACATTATCCATAGCTGTCTTTGTTCATTTTGTGGCTATCATATAGAAGAAAGCATCTGCTTATTCTGCTTGGCTTCAGAGGTCAGAACTCACAACATTGGGTAGAAGTGGCAAAGAATCAAATTTAGACTGCCCTTCCAAATAACTAGAGCCATCCAAAAGTAGAGAGGGCTGCCTGGGGAGGTCTTTGATAGCCCTTCGTCTTTGAAGAAGACCAACAACATTGCGTGGTGATATCTTGACTTGTGTGTGAACTGGATTGAAGTAAGGCAGAGTTGCACTAAATCTTCATCCTCTCTTCTAGAGTCATGAAGTCCAGTGGCAGGACAAAAGTCAGGATGCCTGGAGACGCCCAGGATGCAGTGTGTGACCTTGGCGTCTTCCATGTTTGACCAAGCATGTAGAGCTCTGCAGCGCCTGCTTCTATAGCCTTCATGGCTGTTGGAACAAATTGTTCTCCACACATTACACCAGGGGAAATCTCCACATGCTTAGGGTAGACACCCCCCTTACTCACTGACAGGTTTGTGGCCCATTGTTTGCCCTCAGCTTGTTTGAGCAGCCCTCCCACCAGAGCCCCATAAGTCCCAGGGCTTTAGGCAGAAGTGGGTGACCACTGGTAAGGTACGTTGTAGAGGGGGATCCTTTTTTATACCCAGTGAAGTCTCTAAGACTTCATAGATGGCTGGTGAGTTCCCCTACAACTCCTAAACTCAGTTGCCTGAAATCACAGACTAGTTAAGTCTCAATGAGCAGCAAAGGTCCTTATCAGTAACAATCTGAACTATTTTGATCAATCAGTCAACCAACATCTACTGAGCACCTCCTTTGTGCCAGGCCCTGTGGTAGGTGTTGAGGACACAAAGCTTAAAGGGAGCCATCCCTGTCCTCAAAGAACTTATACTCTATGAGGGGAGTCAGCATGTACATGTAACTGATGTTTAAAGACCTTTGAAAAAATAGAAAAAAAATTAATAATAACTTACTTCTACAGAGGTTATCTATAGAAATACATTAAGGTTTCCAAAGCAGTTCACTCACAAGTGTCCTTTGAGGAGGACGCTGCAAGTACTATTGTTCCTAATTTACAGATGAAGAAATTGAAGCCCTGCAAGATGAACTGAGTTACCAAGGTCAGACACGGAGGAGGCATCAAAGGCTAGTCTCTGAACCCTGGGCCTTCCTGATCCCAAATCCACAGCCCTTCCCACTCTGCTGCACTTTCTCTACTTCTGAGAATCTCAAAGAGAATTAAGATTCCTGAAATGAACTCGGCACTAACTCAACTGGAGGAGAGTCACAGTATGTAAGGAATTTTCAAAGTCATCTTAACTTTGATCACACAGTGATCAGAACTGGGAAAATGGAAACTCATCACTTATGTTCCACTTTACTCTCCAAAGAGATTGTGAACTAGTGACATCAGCACAAAATTGGGAGACAGGGAGTTAGGAAGGCTAACCTTCTCTTTGAAATGAACAACCCATCTGACCTCAAATAAATCCCTCAATCTCACTGCTTCAGTTAATATTTACTTTAAAAAAAAAAGCTTTGAAGATTAAAAAAAAAAAACCACTGGCTAAGTAGTAAAGAATAACCCATCCACAGGAATCATTAAGGGCTGACAAACACCTTCATCCCAAATTCTAAACCCTAGGAATATTAATGACAATTATGAAAATGATATGAAAAGAAAAAAGATTAAAGGAGCAACTAACTAGTACCGACCTGCTTTCTTCACGACAGCTGACCACAGAACATATTGTTGGTAAGATTTTCAAATGCTGGGGTTTTCTACGTTTGTATAAGTAAATTCAACGTGGTGGGGGTAATTTGACATTCCTGAGAGGGCTTTGCAGGCTTGTGACAAAAGAAGCCTAAAAAAGACCAGATTCCTGCATAAATTCAGGAGCAGGGATTTGAGAAGTCTGTGAACTCACTCTCTAATCAGATCGGAACTCTGGCGGGGAAAGGGCTCTGAGAAGCCCCGAAGGCCTAACCTGGCCAACAGAACAGAACGCCTTACACCTACGGACAAGCAGAAGGGGATGGCAATTCTACCCAGGACTTACAAGGGAGTTTGGATCAGTTTTGCCTCAGCATCTCCAGTCACCTTGAACAAACTGAAATTCGAGAAAGCCAGCAGCTGCACGGATCAGACTCCAGCCCGGACCTTTAAAGCTCGGCCACTCTCACCTTTCCCAAAGACAGAGAAAGCAAGGAAAGCAGCAGTTGAGACTTGAGACCTTCTAGTTCTGTAAGCACTAACAGAGCCTGTTTTCTCCTGCTAAACCAACAGGAAGTGTAGCTCCGAGTATGCACTTGAGTATATACTCAAATCAGTTTTGTGTTCTATTGTATCCTATAAACATCTGTAAAGTCCCTGTTAAGTTTGAAGGGAGGGAAAGGAGATGAGATATTAAAAAAAAAAAAAAGAGTTCCTTCCTTCAATGGGGTTTGGACTCTATTAGGGACATTGACCTAGACGGGCATAATTACAAGGCAGATGACCGGAGGCAAAGACAAGGTCCCCTCGAAGAGCTCCAGGAAAATTTCAGGAGGGAGAGGACTGCCTAAACTTACGAACAGCTGGAAGTACACTTCCATGACGTAATCACATTGCATTCATTGTTTGTTCAGTTTGCCTTTGCTAAAACGCCCTTTCTTCCTCTCATCATATCTTTTTTTTTTGTCCTCATCTCTCAGTTACTCACAAAGAGGGTTGCCAACTGGCCAATATTTGACCATTTTGTTTGACCCCCTCCCTCACCACACCCCCTGTTTTTATCTTGGTCGTGCTATTCACAAAGAGCATAACCCATCCCCACCCCCCAATCCTAGTTCTCAGAGAAAGGCTTTCTTTGGACCCGTCTCCTTGGGTGACACCATCCTTTTCATCTCTGCATCATACTCTTCAGAAAGGGTTTTCCTTCAGCATTTTCCTGACCTCCCATCACAGAATTCTTAAGTTCCCTTGAGCCCTGTAGCGGTGCTGGAGAACAGGAATCTCCTGACATAAATGGCTCAGTGTTTGAACTCTTCTCGAGCTGGTCAGGGTGACTAGCCGAGGACTAATTTTGTCTTGCCTTCACTGAGGAAGCCTATGAAGTGAAATCTGTGTGCTTGGTTCCCAGGGAAGGCAAAATAAACACACAACGAAGGCTCGTGAGTTGACAAAAATTTTCAATTCAATATTCAGTCCTTACTTGAGAGGGACATTTCTTAAAACACAAACAAGAACCATGATGCATACATTCATGCCCCCACGATCAGAAAATAACTTGAACCCTGAAGCAATATACATGGGTGTGAAGGCAAAAATAAGGCCCAGTGGACATCTTGAGAGGATAAAACCCATGGATTTGCTCTTAGACTCAGGAAGGCCCCCAGGTGGAGTCCCGTCTCAGACTCTCGCTAGCTGTGGCCTCCACCTTGCCACTGATTTCCTGACCTCCTGGCTTCAAACATCATCAAGTCTCCTCTCCCTACTTCCATCTGTAAAAACCTTCAATAATAGGCCAGACCTTTTTGTTGTTGTTCAGTCATATCCAGCTCTCCATGACCCCATGTGGGGTTTTCTCGGCAGAGACACTGGAGGGGTTTGGCATTTCCTTTTCTAGCTCATTTTACAGATGAGGAAACTGAGGTAAGTAAGGTTAAGTGACTTGCCCAGGGTCACACAGCCACTAAATGTCTGAAGCCAGATGTGAACTCGTGAAGACGAGCATTCCTGATTCCAAGCTGTCCCACACATATCTGAAGAAAAATTATTCAGTTGTTTTTCAATTGTGTTCAACTTTTTGTGACCCCATTTGGGTTTTTTTTTTTTTTGGGAAAAATATTGGAGTGGTTTACCATTTCCTTCTCCAGCTCACTTTACAGATGAGGAAACTGAGGCAAACAGGGTTCAGTGACTTGCCCAGGGTCACACAACTAGTAAATTTCTGAGGCCAGATTTTGAACTCAGGAAGAAGAGTCTTCTTAACTCTAGGCCTTTCATTCTATCCACTGTGCCAGCAGCGTGACGTTACTTGTAATTCAAACAATGTTAACTATTATTGAATTGACTTTACTGAATTTACAAGTTTTGCATATAAGCACTGTTTTGCCTTGTAATTTTAGGTTGAATTCATTAAGAAACACTATCAAGTCTACAGCAAAACTGAATTTCCAAAGCCATCCCATGTTCAATAATGGTGTTTGAGGGTGGTTCCTATCATTCAGAAAAATTTCTCAATCTCACTTTCGAGTTAAAAAATCATAACAAACTTTCCCCCCCTCTTCTTTCTCGTTTTGACAAGATGGGTATGCCCTGATAATAAAAATATAAATGTTGCGGTATGGTGAGATGTATGGCACTTGAAATGCCACCGAGTTATAAGTGTCACTGTGATCTGTAGCATGCCGAAAATCATGAATACATACATATGTATACACACACATATCTCAGTCGTTGCCTCCCATGTTAAAATGCAAGCTCTTTGCAAGGAGCAATTGTCTAATACGTTGCGCTTGTGTCCTCAGAGTTTAGCGAGCACCTAAAAAACATCCTCATAGGACATATGACATAAGGACACAGGCCCTTAATGAATGCTTACTAATTGATCAAGTGACTTGTCCAGATCGCACTGCCAAGATGTTTCTGAGGTGGAACATGACCCTGAGGCCAGCTCTATCTGGTGCCTTCCCATAGGTAACGCTGACATACAATAGCTGCTTAAAATATTTTCTGAATGAAAAAAAAATGAGTATTTAGCTTTGGAATGAGCTTGCATGCGTTGCTTTGAATTCAGACGTTTCTGTTTTATTAGAGCCCCAGAGCACATCACCCAAAAGAGCAAAGCTGTTTCTGTATGCTCACTTGGGAAGTCCAGAGTGCGGGAGAGAAAGGAAACAGGTCAGGAGGAGATTGTTGCTTGTTCTCCAACCTTTAGGACCGATGGCGTCCCAGGGCGCTGTCCTGACTCACTGTCAATCGGATTTACGTGAGGCAGAGCTGCACAAAGTCGTCAGAATCACTCTTTCCTCCTGGGTCATCAACTTCCAGAGGCGGGACAGAAGTCAAGATGACTGGTGATGGCTTGGGAGGCGGTGGATGACCTTGGCATTTTCGATGTCTGACCGGGTTCTAAGAGCTCCACAGCACCTGCTTCGGCCGTCCTCAGGGCTGTTAGAACAAATTGTTCTCATCTGCCCATTTTGCAGGGAGATGTCTTCACATGCTTGGGGTAGACACCCCCCTAACCCACCGACAAGTTTGGGCCCATCAGTTACCCTTGGCTTGGATTAGCCCATCAGCTGAGGCAGTTTACTGGGGGATAGTCGCTGTGCACGCTACAGCTTCTTGGAGCGGCAGCTGAGAGCTGAGTGCCAGGGAGACCCCAAGGGTGGACAAGCCGCCCTGGCGAGGGCTCAGCAGCCCTCCCACTAGAGGTGCTGGCCCCTCAGGAGGTGATAGGGAAGTTCTCAATGCAGGTCATGGTGTGTCAGGGCCCAGGAGGACAGGACCTTGCAGACTCTCATGAGAAGAGTAGGCTGAGGGGGCCTGAGTTTCCTTTGCTCAGAGATCTTCCCTGTTCCTCCTGCAGATCAGAAAAGCCATGGTTCATCCCTCAGTCTGAAGTAAGAAATCAGGGAAAACTGTGTTGGTCTCCCTGGCTCAGACTGCTGTACTGGTGCTTCATACCTTCCCTGAGATAGAGGAGACAATGAAATGTTTTCATTTTAAAAGCCTCCTGCTGGGCTAAAGGTTGTACCGGGAAGTAAAAGTAAATAAGAGTTATTCAACAGTGTCAACAAAGGACTTTGTTCTCTTCATTATGTTAATAGGCACTTGTAAGCAAGACTTGTTGCCATCTTGATGAGCCTTAGTTGTTTCTTGATACGTCTTTGACTTTGAAAGAAAAGACTTTAAATATCCTGAGAGAAACCCAAATTGTCCTCTGCCAGGTTGGTCCAGCAGCCACAAACCATCTTCTCAAGCCCTTGCATCAAGCTTTCCTGTGGCAGGAGGAGACCCTGGATTTGGGAAACCAAGCCCTGGTGGCTCCCGCCAAGTTGGGAAAGTGTGGGAAAGGCCACAAGCACAGGCCAGGGATGGCTCTGGGCGCCTGTCATCTGAAGACTGCCTCAACCTTGGCTGAGAAAGTCGCCACCAGACAGCATGGTCTAGTGGCAAGAGCTCTGAGCTTGGGAGTCATAGGGTCTGAATTTGAATGCTGGCTCTGGCGTTTAAGTCCATTTGTGACTCCAGGCAGGCCACTGCATCTACACACTTGTTTTCTTCTCTGTAAAATGAGAGGGGGTGCGCGTGATGGTTTCAGGGGCCTCTTCTAGCTTTTGAACTGTGATGCTAGGGAATGATTTTGGGTTTTTTTGTTTGTTTGTTTGACCAGAGAACCTCATGTGGATTGTCACTGAGGGCTTGGGATCATCATCAGAAGAGGGAGATACCTTAAGGACTGAATCAGTTACACACACACACACACACACACACACACACACACACACACACACTTCAATGGACCTGTGAGCTAATCAAGACGGGTACTTTCTCCACTGATACAAATTCCAACCCATCCATGCTTGTCCATCCTATGTGACCCTTGCTCCTATCCTCCTCTAGGCAGGAAACATGACATTTTGTTATGATAATCTTTTAGATTTCTTGACATTGGGGCACACAGTCTGTCCATCCATTATCACTGGCTCTATAGGACCAGCTCATTGCTTTTTCTCATCATACGTTTCTCTGATGACCCTCTTTGAACCATTTCTCCTGGGCAATTCCTCACTTGTTCTATATGGGCACTGCTAGTGCCCACATGAACCGTCTTCTCCACTACCCTATTGGTGAACCTGAACTTTAATTCTTTGGAGAGTGTGGCATTCCAAACTCAGCCATAGAACTGCACTGAAGGAGAAGGCCTTTGCTTCAGGGAGAAGTGTGGGGGTCACTGAACTCTACACATGACTTCCCAAAGGTTATCCCATTTGCTCTCCTCTTCTTGTTCAATGCTAGGACAAACTCTATCTGTCTTCACAGTGTCTTCCCAAGATGTCTATGTCCTGGTGGACCAGCTCTCTGGGTTGTCCCAGATAACATAGTCTGTATAATGGAGAATCTTCATCCACTTGGTTTTTCCAGTGTGAATAGTCAGACTGAGCCCTTTTGAGAGTGTCAGACAGTTTATTTAAAAGTACAAAGTTCTAGGTTTGATGTAATGACCATGATGTCTTCTAGGGACAGGAGAACCTGAAGGCATGCATCAGCTGAGGGGGAAGTTTCTTTCATTAGTCCTTTTTGCTGGATCTCCTTCCCAACAGCAGCAAACACATTTGTGCTTTGGTAGTCACATGCTCCTATATTTCATATCTTGCCAAATATTAACAATAATCAGGTCACTGAAAAATTCTTTCAGGGACTCTTATAGGATTTCGACATGTGCATGGGGGACACCTTGTTGTACTCTGCCGACACACTCCTGTGAAGAGTTTATTAACAGCCAGTCCCCCCCACTACCCCAGGGATGTCAGTGGAAGAGGCGGCCGTCCTAGCAGCACAGGGTCAGGCCCTCTCTAAATGGTGACACCGTTTTCTGCACCACATTTAAAGGGTGTAGCCACATGCTCAGAACTCCCACTCCCAGCTGCCCTGAAACCAGGGTTTCTGTTTTCTATTTGCTGTCAGTAATTCTCTCCAATTATTATTGACTCATTTGGGTGGGAAGGACCTATAGGAAGTCATCTAGTCCATCCCTCTGCGTCATGGCAGGATTGATTTAATTATTTGTAAACCACCCCTGACAGATGGATGTCTGGTCTTTGCCTGAATACCTCCAATGAGGGCAATTAGAAATCCTGCCATGGCAGCCTGAGCCATTGGCAGCTGCCTTGTACTCAGCCATGTCTTTTGCACACAAATATACCTATTAGAATACTTTCCCTTCTCTGTTTTGCATTCTAGGATATTTGTGGTTAAGTAGACATAAATTAAAGCTAATTAATCCTCCTCCTGAAGCCAAGTTACACCCATGCCTATATAAACATATGTGTATGTGTATACATACATATATACATACATGCACATATGTAATTTGTATATATTATTTATAAATATTTATTTATTCATTCACTTATTTATTTATTTAAAAAGAGATATCTCCAACAACATGAGGGTTCAAACTTAACCTGCTATTTCTGTGCAGTTATTAAAGGAGTCCAAAGAATTGCTTAGGTGATCTATAGTTGGAAAGAACCTGAGAGGTTGCTTAGTCCAACTCCCTCTTTAACAGAAAAGGAAACTGAGGCCCAGTGAGGGGAAGTGGCTCTTTGAAGGTCAGCCAGGTAGCCAAGCTGGGGTCCGACCCCCAGATCCTTGGATGGCATCAGCCCAAACAAGGCCACTTCATTTGGGTGAAAGAAAAAGGTCACTGAGTGTGGGACAGATTCTGAACCAAGATCAAAGTGTGTTGGGGGGAAAAGAAGGTAAAATATAATCCCTCGTTCACATTGCTGGTATTTATGAAGAATGACACTTTTAAAAATATACACCCATAATCATTGAAGATGCTCTTACTTTCGACAATTTCCCCATCGTTGGTCTGGAGCTTAATGCTCAAGGTGATCGAAGAGCCCTGCACCACCTTGCTCACCTTTGGACCCAAAATCACAATCTTTGAGGCTTGAGCTAAAACAGAGAAGGACAAGTGTGCATTTAGGTTGTAATAGCGAGCTCAACTGTCTCACATTAAATTTCTTATCCGTCTTAATGGATGGCTCCCAGAGAGGAAATGTGATTCCACAGCATTATTAGATGAGGGAGAAACAAGAGTTGGGCCCAGTTCTTGGGTGTATTAATGTGTTGTCTTCTTTTTTAAAGAAGTAACTTAACCTTAAATAATAACAGAAATCATTATATTTGCAACTGGTTAAACTTTTCAAAACAATTCCCTTTGACAGGCAGATAACTATGACAGATTGTTAGTGATTCCCTCCCTCTGTGTCCCCTTACATTGCTCTTCAGTCATTTGTTTATCCCTATATGCATGTACGTGTGTTTTCATGTGAGCCATGCTGCTGATATTCTGGGTTTGCTTTCTTTGATTCACTAAAAATTGTTTTGAACAGTTAGCTTCCCCTCTTTTTTATAATGTTTTTATGGTCTATTCCCCCAAAGGAGAATATTAGGTCAAAGATATCATCAGTGTCATTACTCTTAGAGTGCTGCCAGATTTTTCTTCAAAAGAGTCCACTAGTTTGCAATTCTATCAGCAACGTATGAGTTATAGTAGTGATTTTTCACCCTTCTAATAATGCCGCACATGCAAAACAGGCATAACAACTCTAATTTAACTTGTTGGGAAGAATACCAAATAATTTCTTAGAGGAACTCCTGAGAAATGCACAGCGTTTTGAGTGTTTTTTCGGAGTTGAAAAACAAGGCATCACTCCTTAATGAGATATGATACAAATATGAAGAGCTAGTTCAGCTAGAGAAGATTTTTTTTAAAAAAAATTAATACCAAGCATATTAAAACAACCTAACAAATACCTCTAAGATTAAACCCATGACTTTACAATGTTGCTTTACTGGGTTCGACAAAATTATTTATAACATTTCAACTGCACAAGTGAATGGATATTAAATATAGATTGCAAAAATTTGCTGATTTAATACATGTTGAAAATGCTGAAGGTGAACAGCATGAAAGGTAGTTAGATTTACCATTTGAGTGGGACATTCTAGTACGTCTTACTGACTTGGATCGGATTCAGACACAGCATCTTCTCCATCTGAGTCAGCAACTTAAGGCTGTTTCTGAAGACAGAGTGCTGCTCAGAGCTCCTTCGATTGTTTCATCAACATGAATAAAATAATTTGTGATACAGAGCTCAGATTTATGGCCACTCACAATGATTACAAAGCTCTCTTTGTAGCAAGGGCTGTCTCCTGCAATGCCACAAGCTACCCAAAGGCAGGAATTAGCAGGTATTCTCAGAAGACCAGAGAACCATGATATTTCCTTTGTTTTGTTTCTACCACATGTTTTCTTTCTGTGGTACCTCTGAAGCCTGTCATCTAAATAGATGCCTTCTGGATTAAAGGATGAGAGGGTTTTTGTTTTTGTTTTTGTTTTTTTTCCAGAGGCAATTGGGAATAAGTGACTTACCCCTGGTCACACAACTAGCAAGTGTCTGAGGCCACATTTGAACTTGGGTCCTCCTGATCCTAGGGCCAACGTACACCTAGCTGCCCCCCTCTTTTCTTCAATAAAAGAAACTGAATCTATTTAGGATTTCATATTTCCTCATCTGCAAAATGGGGATAATAACTGTAGTAACCATCCCATTGGCATAGTAGATGGAATACGGACTTGAAGTCAGAAAGATTTGGGTTCCAATTCTACCTCTGACAGTTACTAGATATAAGACCACTTGAGTTCTCAGAGCCTCTGATGGCTGTCTAAGATGTGGCTACTCCAGTCATAGATCACGAGAACTTATTGTTATGATTGTATACGTATAATCTATATCAGATGGCTTGCCATCTTGGATGGGGAGGAGAGGAAGAAAAATTTGGAGCTCAAAATCTTGTAAAAAATGAATGTTGAAAACTATCTTTACATGTAATCGGAAAAAATAAAATGCGACTTACAAAAAAACCCAGTCGTATTTGTAGAGTTGGAATTGATACTAGAGACCATTCTGTCCAACTCCTTCGTTTATAGATGGAGAAACTGAGAGGCCTGTCCAGAGTTACTGATGAATTTACATTGAGCTATACCACAGGACTGTTGTAGGATCGAATGAGATAGTGATAAAGAGCAAAAATTGGTATAAATGTATGATATTGGAACATGCCACTTAACACTATTCTAAGTCATTACGTTTCATAACGGTGCCATTAATGTACTAAAGCCTAACCATTCTACAACGTAAATAATAATTTAGTATAAGTTGGCTACAGGCCTAGCACGTAAAGCAGAGGTTTTAACTATGGAACTAACTGATGTGGTAACATTCTTTCACCTGACAGAGAGAACTGATTTGTAATACTAGGTGGGCCATGCCTATACTGGCTGTGCCACTAACCATCAGTGGTCTGTAAATGGAATGAACGGCCTCAGGAGGTGGTGGCCTTCCCCTGCTGGACATCTGCAAGCAAAGGCTGGAGGACCATTTGTTGAATATGTTGTAAAGGGTAATGCTGGGTGCAAAGTGGCGCAGTGGATAGAGGTCTGGTCTGGAGTCAGGAGGACCTGAGTTCAAATCCAGCTTCAAACACTTGACACTAGCTGTGTGACCCTGCGCAAGTCACTTAACCCCGACTGCCTCACCAAAAAATTTAAAAAAAAAAAGTGATACTGGTTCGAGTCTAGGCCTCTACGTCCTCCTCCTAGCCCTGCTCCTGACTTTGGGATTTCAAAACCATGGGTCTGCTACAGTCTCATATAAGGACTTTCCTTAGGACCTGAGGCCTACTTGCTCAGGAACATCCAATTATCCCTGCAGCCTTCTCAACCAAGCGTAGACCTCTCAAAGGTCCGCTCCTGTCTGCCATTGATGAATTTCCTCTTGGGGCATTTGGGGGAGCAGAACCAGCCTTTATTCCCTTGATGGTCCTGTTCACAGACTGGACCACATTGCCTTTTCATTTCCCTTTCTGTGTGTCATTTTCCTTCTCTAGAATGTAAGCTCCTTGAAGGCAAGGACTATCTTTTTAGTTGTATTTGTATATTCAGTACTTAGTGTCTGGAACTTAGTATTTAATGTCTTTCCTTCCTTCCTTCCTTCCTTCCTTCCTTCCTTCCTTCCTTCCTTCCTTCCTGATTGTCTCTGATTCTGTGATTTCTAAGGCAGTAAGTCGGACAATTAATACTAACCTTTACTTTCAAATATAAAAAAGGCTCTTCATATGTTATTTATAGAAAGATTAGGTCTCCTAACTCTGAAACTATTTTTTTTTCACAGTACTTTGATGTTCAGTCACTTCAATTGTGTCTGAATCTTCATGATCCCGTTTGGGGTTTTCTCGGCAAAGATATTAAAGTGGCTTGCCATTTCCTCCTCTAGCGTATTTTGCAGATGAGGAAGCTGAGGCAAACAGGGGGAAATGACTCGCCCAGGGTTGCACAGCTAGGAAGTGTCTGAGGCTGGATTTGAACTCAGGTCTCCCTTTTTCCAAGTCTGGTGCTCTCTCCACTGTACCACCTCCCTTCCCTTTTCCACACATCCCCTACTTAATTAATGCTTCATAGCATACCTCCTAAGTGAGACGTGATGAACTCTCAATGCAGATTGAGACATATATTTTCTTTCGGACATGGACAATGAAATAATTTGTCTTGTTAGACTATATATGTTTGTAACTGAGATTTTGTTTTTCTTTCTTTAGCAGTGGAGGGGAGAGAAGGTAGAAGGGAGAGAAAGCAGATTTTTATTGGTTAAAAGCCTTTTAATCAAATTTTTAAAAAGCAAACACAAAAGTAGAAAATGCATAAAATACCTACGGGTTAACCTGCCTTAACATACTCAAGATATACTTATACATATACTTATAAAACAGTGTTTTAAAGAAAGTTTTAAAGAAATTAATTAATTAATTAAATGTCATTTAAAGAAATTAATTTGAAAGATATTCATTGTTCGTATTTGGGTTGAGCTGATACAATAGAAATGAAAACACTGCCTTAACATATTGCTAGCAGCAGATTTTTCCCCTTGCATCCTGCAGAACACCTGACTTTTCTGCCCTGCCTTCTTATCTGCTGTGCTGGATGCCAAAGATCCGCGGAATGCATTTGCACGGTGCTGAGGCGGAGGGCTCTGGCTCCTGCTCTTGGGCAGCAGGGAGGGATGGGCCCGAGAGTTTCATCCAGATGATGTCCCCTCTCCCCGACTTTCAGTTCACCCCCCACCCCTGGTCTGGGAGCTCTCCCCTCCTGCCTCCTAGCAGGCCCCACTGAAAATGGCCAGGGGCTTTGACTGAAAGAAAACTCATCATACTGTTAGCATTTTAACTGCATTTCATGGTGCAGTTTTTTCTACCTCTCTCACTGTTTTTAAACATTTTGCTTTAATAAAATAGTCGAGGGAAAAGCAGGAGGGTGTTCAAGAACAGGGAGATGAAGCCAATTCATAGCGAAAATGCTACAGGACAAGTCGGACTAGTTTGCACCCCAGTCTGTGGAGCCTCACGATCCAACTGTGAACCAAGCTGCTTATTTCCAGAATGATTCTCTCCTTCATGTGCTGGCCAGACTGCAGATAGGCAAGTCATATCTCACTGGGACAGACACTGGAACCTGGGCTGTATCACGCTCCTACTTTAAAGTGAAATTAGCAAACTGCTCTTCCAAAAAAGAACCAAGAATCGCTCTTCCCATTCCATTAGTGTTCTTTATCTAATTTAATTCTAGGAATAGTCTCTTCTCCCCCACTCCCCTGAATGCCTACTTAATCTAACGAGTACTGGCATGAGCTCCAACCCTACGCCCATCAGGCTAATTTAGAACAGGGTCACACAGAAATGTGAACACAACCAATAAGCCATATTAATTGAGGGAGGGACAACCAAAGCAATCCCCCGAATCTATTTAATAAATGAAAAGCAAAACAAATGACATACTTGCAGGATAGCCATTGATCCACAGGCCATCATAGATGGTGCCAGAGCAATGAATCATGAGGCCTTGGCCATTGAATACACCATTTCGCCACTGTCCCTGCAAATGAAACGACATGTTGATTTCAAATGTGGGTCCCAGAACAGGAAACTTTAAGAAGAATGTGTTTTTTTTTCTTTTTCTTCTTAAGAATTCTCAATAGCTGAGTGGGTGGTCCATGGAGCATAGGAGCGACTTAAAAATACACTGCAAATACTTTTCAGTGAAAAGTTGAATGGATGAGTAGGAAACATTCAGAGATTACAGACCATTCAACAGTATTCTCTTAGAATAAACGATTTTCTGGAAAAACTAAATTTCCTTAAGTATTGTTAGAAACCCTTTTACTGAGGCTAAGAAATTATATTTGATCAGAATGAAATCAATTTTGTTTAGTTAAATAGGGTTCCCCTTTTGAATCTCAAAGGCGCCAATAAGTATGTGGAAAATGGTACAGTATATAAAATGTAATCAAAACGTGGTAAAAATGGTATACTGTTGAGTACGAAAGAATTCTTTCATTACAAAGTCATTCCATTTGTGCAGAGTATCATAAAAGAGACAAAAACTCTGCACCTACAGTACTGAGTGTTAGGATTAAGGCTAAATAATTACTCTGTTACACTATTCATTTATAAATAAAAAGCCCAATTAAAAAACACAGTTTGAAGAAATGGAGCAATGTGTCTATCCTTTGCACACTGTAACTATGTCTCCCATAATGAGCTTGGCTTTCAGAAATAGTACTCAGAAATAAAGGAGAAAAACCAATCAGAAAAAAGCAGGAAATTATTTCCATGAAACTTTTCAAATACAGAACATTCAGTAGCATTTTACTAGAAGAAAGAATCCAACCAAAAAGTTTTAAATTTAAATTTAATTTTAATCCTTTTCTTGAAGTGACAATTATCATGGATTATTATGCAACCATGTCTTCTGCTGAGTTCCCAGAATGGAGGCGGAGACCATTCTGCGATGCTTGATTTTCAGTCTTTTCAATTTTAAACTCTGCCTTTTGGGTGATTCCAATTCTTTAGAAACCATGATTCTGAAACCACAACTTGCAGCCTTCACCATAACTTAAACAGTATGAGTTTTTAAAAGATGAATCGTTGTTTCAGGGAAAAGTGTGGGGTCATTGAAAGCTCCATGCAACTGCCCAGTCAGCTCTGAGCCCAGTGCAGTATCTTTTCAAGATATATGTATTGATGACCCACTCTTTTCCATTCCACTGGCTGGACAATAGGCATTCAGAATTCATTTGGTTTTTCCAGTGTGGATAGTAAGACCTCTTGAGCAAAGATGATGGATCTCATTTGGGGTGTCTCTGCAATGTCCTAAAGCTTGATGCAATCAGCCTCATCCACAAAGGGGAGCACCTGGAGCTCTTCACCCTTTGTAGGAAATCTGACTTCTCCATGGACTCTGTCCTTCAGAAGAACACCCCATGATGGAGGGGCATAGTTTTTGGCAAGAAATAAAAGTTGAGGATGATACAAAAGGCAGAGGAACAAGGCCGGCCAGAGAAGGCTACCGTAACCAAGAATTGTATAAGAAAAGTAGCACAAATGTGTCATCTGAGAGATGCATAACCATGAAAGAAGACAGGCCGAAGAGATGGAAAGTGTGCTCTTCTGCTGTGCCCACGCGGTAAGAGAACTAGAGGAAGGCCTGGATATGTTGGCTGAAGCCCCTGTGAAGGATTTATAGGAGAGTAAGGCCACGACCCAAGATGGGAACTCATGGGTGGGTTGTGAGTTGTGCCTTCCTATCAATGGGGCTGTGGACCTGCCAAAGGATCTAAATAGTTTTTAAGATACCTCACCAATCAATGTGCTACAAGCATTTTTGTCTGGAGCACAGGACCAGGAGCTATGGACATAAGGTGCAGAGGCAGACTCGGGCTGGATGCCAGAAAAAAAACGTCCTAAGAGAGCTGGGGTCCCTGGGCCCTTTCTTCATCGGGGGAGGCCTTCTGTCAGAAGCGGGATAACCCGCTTTTTTGATGACAGTCTAGCTTAGTAACAGGTTGGGCTGCATGGCACTGGGAGTGCCTTCCGACTCTGAGATTCTGAGGGCCTTTTAACTATATTCCCAAATGACTATTATTGATTTCTCCATCTGCTATGCAATAAAACTAACAAAACTTTCACTGTGCCGCCCCTTCCCTCCCATCTCCCCTGCCCTCAAACGCCACGTTTCAGAACACTTTTTTTTTCAAGTGGACATTTTAAATTCCCTGCAGCTTCATGTATAGAATTTACCATGTTAAATCCTAAACTTGCAAATCTACCCTGCTCTAGGACTTTGGAGAAAGACCACGATGCAGATTAGGCAGAGTTTCTATTCTGTTCAGTGTTTCTTTGTAGTGTCTATCAATCCCTGCTCCTGCTGCCCTCTGGGCCAAGCAGAGCACGGCTAATCCCTCTGCCACAGGACAGCCCCTCAGAACCCTGAAAACACTTGTCATGTCCCCCCCTAATTAGGAGTCCTCTCTTCTCCAGGCTGAACATCCCTTATTCTTTCAGCCAGTCCTCGTATGTCATGGACTCAAGGCCTTTCTCACCATCTTAGTTACCTTCCTAGGGAGTCCCTCCAATTTCTCAATAGGGACAGTGCCATCAAGACAGGTTGGTACCTTCTCTGCAACTGAGAGTCATAGAGTTTCCCGAGCCATTGAAAGGTCGAATGACTTGTCTACAGTCCCCAAGCCCTTATGTGTCAGAGGTGACACTTGAACTCGGGTTTTCCCAGCTGCAGGGCCAGCCTCTCTGGGGTTTATCAATGACCTACTTAACCTGAGGTGCTCAGAATTGAACATAATAGTGCAAATGAGGTCTCATCAGGACAGAGAACAGGGGGACTGTCGCCTCCTTTTTCTTGGAACTTATGCTTATTCATGTAATCCTAGATCCATGGGTGGGTAGCCAGGTGGCACAGTGGATAGAGTGCTGAGCCTGAATTCAGGAAGACTCATCTCCCTGAGTTCAAATCTGAGTTCAAGACACTTCCTCGCTGTGTGACCCTGGGCAAGTCACTTCACCCTTTTGGCCTCAGTTTCCTCATCTGTCAAATAAGCTGGAGAAGGAAATCCAGTATCTTTGCCAAGAAAATCCCAAATCGGGTCACAGAGAGTTGAACACACCTGAAGAACGACTGAGCACCAGCAAGGTCCAGGGTGAGCTGGAGTCAGCCCTTCAGGCTCGAGAGAGAGATCACGAGGGAGCATTTACACCTTGGAAATCGAGGAATACTACAAGCCAGGTCTTCATCCATTGTTTTCTTGGTCTTCTAGACTTTGGAAAGTGAGGGAGAAAACGCTGATAGAGCAGACGAAACTGAAAAGTGTCCAGTGGGTGCAGAGGCTGCTAACTGTTCACCAGCACAGCTGGTCTAGAGTCCACTAGCTCTGGAGGGCTGCCATGGCCCTCAGCTGACTCCTTCTGAGCTGGCTTTCCACTAAAACCCCCAGATCTTTATTTTTAAAACAGCCGTTGCTTCCTGTCCTATCGCGGAGAAGTGGCTTGCTTAGACCCAAGTGCAAAACTTCATGTTTATTTATATCCCTGTTGTTTCTCTTTGGGAATCCCTGTTTAATGCTCCAGCCTGTCGAGAAGTGTTTGGTGCTGATCCCTCCCAGCCTTGGGTCACCAAACTTACACCAGCCTGAGGTCTGAGCCTTGCTCCAGATGGAGACAAGGAGGGAGTCAATTCCAGGCCCTGGAGAAACACCCTGGACAAAAGTGTAAGTCTGCGGGGCGGCAGGTGGGTCAGTTTGCCTGGAACGTAAAGTGCGTGTGACACAGCAGGAGAAAAGGCAGAATCACCTTCTGTCCACGAAAGGCTCGTGTCTCATGCTGAATTATCAGGCTGCTCCATTTCTCAACCCTCTAATTTGTCTGTATGTGAAATGAGTATGCTTCCTCAAATTTTTATCTTACAAATGAAGTCAAAATTATCTCTCTTAAAGAAAAAATACATCAATTGCTGCTTCTCAAAGTGCCAATGTGAAGTGTAAACATGACTCTCAGGACCTCAGAGTCAGAAGAATCTCACAGGTCATTGAGTCCAACCTGTACATGAACAGAAACCCTTTCAACAACATCATGATATTCAAGCTTTACTCATAACCTCATAACAGAAACCCGAAATGCTGCTACTTGTAGCTGCTCGCTCAAAATTGTTATGGAACTCGACAACATATGGTAAGCATGTATTAAGTTCCTGTTGTATGCAACATGGCACAATGGACAAAATGTTAGACTTGAAGTCAAATCCTGCCTCAGCCATTTCTTAGTTGTGTGACTCTGGACAAGTCAATTAACTTATTTGGGCTTCTGTTTTCTTATCTGCTAACTATTTGACAATTTTCAACATGCACTTATTGAGTGCCTACTATATGCAAGTCACAGCGCTTGTTGCTACAGACACAGAAATAAAACAAAAATGGTCCCTGTCTATAAGGAGTTTATATTCTACTAACCAGAACACCTGGAAGTCTCATAAAAGATACCAAGTCAGAGCCTTGATAGAAACCGTGGATGTCTTCTTTCCAGGCTAAACATCCCATCTATTCCTGTTATGGTTCAGCCACCAGAACCTCATACCCCACACCTCTTGTCCTCCAATGAATAGTTGTTGGCTTGTCAATTATCTCTTAAAAAGCAGACACCAATAGAACTGCAGTCAATTCTCCCATCGCTAAAGATAAGAGAAATGCAAATCCAAACAATCCTGAGGTTTCACCTCACGAGCCGCAAATAGCCAAAGACGATTAAAGGTGGCGATGGTCAATGTCAGAAGGCTTGTAGAAACACAGGCGTGCTAGCGTTCTGCTAGGAAAACCACTGTGGAAAGCAATTTGGAATTGTGGAAATGAAGTGGCTAAACTGTCCCTATCCTTTGACCCAGAGATCCTGCTGCCAGGCATAGATCCCAAAGAGGCCAGTGACAAAGAGTAAAGCCCCCAGTAGCCCAAAAGAATCACAGCAGCACTTTTTGTGGGCAAAGTTTGTATGGGCAAAGTTTGGGTGGTGTAAAACAAAAGATATTCATAAAAA